TGAAGGAGCTGATTGGGGGACTCTGTGAGGCAGAAGCTTGGAAACTTCAGCTCTGAGTAGGAGCTGCACCTCCAAGGCAGAGTTAGGACCACCCACCTGTTTTGCATAATTGAATGGTTGCCATGGTAATTAAAGTAATTCACAAACATACATAGGTATGTTTTTGAAGTCAGGTTAGCATCATAACAAGATTTAAATCTCAAAAAGTTTATTTAAATAATAATATAATGATAAATGTTAGACGAAGCTTCACGAGGTTGGTCAAACGTGTAAAACAACATTAATTTGTTCGGTCAGTGCTATAAAGAATATATCAGCCGATGTAAAATAAATGAATAAACTGACAACAGGTTGGCTATGTTAGTCAAACATGTAAAAAATAAACTGAAAAAACCTTTCAAATGGTTCAGAAAGTGTGATTAAGAATTCTAAACATAATGTAAAATAAACAAATGTGATGTTACTCAGGACACAAAGTGTAGAATCAGACTGAATAGATCTGCTCTCATGGATCGACCACATTGTCACCGATGCCAGTCTAGAATTCTTTTCAATATCAGGACTGATGCAGATATTAATATTGGATCAGTACAGATCTAGTTTTCATCAGTATTGAAAGTGTTGTTTCCGTGACCCGGTACCACTGAGGTCCATATAGTCCGGTCACCAGCTGATTCTCTAAGTGAATGTGTTGTTACGCCGTCTCGTCTAGCGGCCATGTTGCAGAGAGAAACCCAAACAGTTCTGAGGCCTGCTGCTGATTTTCCTGTTTGTTGTTTCAGTTCTTGAACTTGTGGACGAAGCAGGACTCTCATGACCTGGAGAATCCCTCCCTCACATCCACGCCAGTGTGCAGTCAGAAGGTCATAGTGACCACACCGCTGCAGCGAGACAAGACCCCCCTCACCCAGAAGGAGAACTCAGTGTAAGCAATGGAATCTGGTGATTGTGCTCGGACTGCATATTCCATACACAGATAAGCGTGACCAACATTTTTTTCCTTCTTCTTCTTCAGATTTGTTACACCTAACCACAAATCGGAGCTGAGCACAACCCCACGGACGCCGACGCCGTTCAAAAATGCCATGGAAAAGTACGGCCCCCTGCAGCCTCTGGTGAGCGCCGCTCTGAGGCTCCAGAAACCGTTACCTCCTTGTTTTAGAGTTTACCTTCACTTCCCGCTTTGCCTTCTCAGCCTCAGACTCCGAACCTCGAAGACGACATCAACGAGGTCATCCTGAGAGAAGCAGGCATTAACATGGTTGTCGTCCAGGCAACGCCACCTGATCCCCGTCGCAAAACAATGGTGAGAACCAAACAAAGTCTTGGAGGCTTAGTACTGGGGCTGCACCCATAAATCAGCCATGATTTCCTAAATTTTGGGTGACCTTTCAAAAGAAACGGATTTATTTTTTTTCCCACCGATGCTCATTTCTTTTATTTGTGTTTTGACCTCAGCACCGCCCTCCTATGAAGAAAGTTCGGAAGTCCCTGGCTCTAGATGTAATGGACTGCCAGGTGGTGCCAACATCCAAGCGCAAATCCAGCAAAGCGGAGGCCAAACGCAGCATCAAGGTGGAGTAGTAATGGATGGAACGATGGCTTCCCTGCAGAACGAGCGCCCTTAAACACTGAGCTTTCCGTCTCTCCTTCTTGGTCGCAGGAAGAACCGGTGACGGTTTGTCTCAACTCCTCATCGTTTTGCATCAAGAGGCATGAAAACATATTAGACCAGGGCTTCCTGTTGGGACCGAGCGACACAACCATATTTCCCAGTGCAGCACCTCCTGCACCTGTAGGTTCCTGTAGTTTTCGAATTGAGAACATTAAAAAAAATCTCATTTTTCATATTTGTATATGTTTTATTATTTCCAGATGTCAAAAGAATGGAAGAAGGTGGTTTGTGGGCAAACTAAAGACCAGCTCATAATGACGGAGAAGGCGAGACGCTACCTCCGCTCTCTGAAGAGCCATCCACCCAGCCGGGCTCTGATTCTGTCCTGAGATCCTTCTGCCTCCCTGGAAAACAAAGAAACGACAAACAAGACACCGACAGTTAAAATGACTCATGTTGCAGTGGTGCTTTACTTCCCATTATTGTTGATCATACTTGTTAGAAAAGAACAGTGATTGTAAGAGTAACGAATCAGTGAACAGTAAGGGTTTTACATGGCATAATGTATCTGAAATGTAGCCATTTTTTGTAACATTGTGAACTACAAACACTCAGGTAGAGTTTCCATATCTAGTCATCATATGGAGAAGATCTAGATGTCAATGGTAGGCTGAGGGATCATGTGGTTTTTAGGTTTCCCCACCGCAAGGGGAGGAACCAACATGTTGCAAAGTTACATGAATAACCCGTAAATAAAGTTGGCCCACTACCTTGTTTTATTAAGAAAAAAATGGTTCAGCCTGTTAAATTTTATGCAAGAGTCATAAAGTAGAGAACTTCACTTAGCACTGTTTAAAAGGTTGATGGGTTGTAAGGCACTCTTTGTAAATATATTTAGGCTAATATGTTTTACTCTTGTGACCGTTTCACAAGTTGAATAAAAACAAATGTATGTTCTGCACCTGTTTGGCTCTTTTTTTGCTGTTTGACCTCATAGGACTCAAAGCAAACGAAGGCTATTTGTTTAGAAATTAAATTAGAAAAGAAGATGAGACGTAAATAAAATAGATATTTTCCAGCTAGGTGCGGTTTTTTCTTCTTTGAGTTCTGATATTACGAATGTACGATCGATCATGAACAGACTAAGAAAAAATACATAAATAAAAAGGAATGCTGTGCTGCCTACGAATCTGTACCTGTGTATTGGTTGTATAATTGCACATACCTAATCTTTTAACACATCAACATCAAAATATTGGTAGTAGGACTTTAAAACGACTGTGCAAACGACAGAGTATTTCAAAGAAAGAACCATGGGCTTTACGAGTAGGTCACGTCATATCGATATTTTTACGACTTTTTTCAGGTAATGCGTCTCCCTATTATTTTTGATTTTTGAAAAGTATCTTTGTCGGGTCCTAATACTCTCTCGAACATAAAATCCAAAATGGATATTGACATGTTTAAAGTAATGACGTGATTTTGAGGCTTTTGTAAAATTTGGATATAAATCACAAACTGTTTTGCATGCTTTAATGCTTTTATTTTGAAACCAACCATTGGAGACGGAAGTTATCCGTAACCTGACAGGTTTCTCTTTGGGACACCGGAAGCAATCGTGCGTTTGGTGACGCTGCATTAGACTGCAAGACATGATTCAGACCAGTGAGTATATTCAAATAATTAATGTAACATTTTGTGCTACTGATTCGTATTGTTCATTCAATTTATATTATAAATGAATATTTAACTATATAATTAGATGAAAAAGCCTCTTGCTGCACGCGCTGCGGTGCTTCCTGTCGAGGTTAGCCTGTTCTGCTCTTAGCTAACCCTTTCAGTCAGCGCGAGACTTATCTGAATTGAATGAATGAATAAATGAATGAATGAATAAAATATATAGTTATGTGTATGTGTCTTTTCTATGTAATGTAATAATGAAGCATGCGCTCAGGCCAAGCGGTGGGCTTGCTAACTTCGGCTGTGTGTCCGCAGAGCTATTCGGGGTTCTCCTCCTCAGCCTGGCTCTTGCTGGAGCTCAGGCTCTCACACCGTCTCACCACCTGTCCCTGTCTGATGTGGGCCGGCTCCAGAATCTTCTGAACCAACCGTACGACGACCTGGAGTCCGCATACTACTCTGTGGTTGGGCTCACCAAGCTCGGAGCAGCTGTTCCGGATCCTGCAGTAAGATATTCACCGCTTCTGGTTCTGAGCAAAAACTATTCATCTCACCGACGATTCCGTTCATTATGTGTTGTCCTACATGGGGTTATCTTTATAAATCTGTTTTGCAGGAAGTTTGCCAGTTCCTGAAATCCCAGCTGGATCCCGGTAGTGTTGATTCTCTGTTTTTTGCTGCTGAAACCAGTAAGGCCATTTCAGGATGTGAGGTATGAACTATTATCCTGCTCATTTACATTCCCCACACTAGTTTATTCATAGTTTTGTTGACCACAGAACATGGATAAATAAAAGCCAATAAAAGGAAGAAATTGTCATTTTTAAAGACAAAACGGTCACTACAGAAGATTGACAATATAAAGAGCATTAACAAAATTTCCACTTCAATTCAAATATACTTTATTTATCCTTAAAGGAAACTGAATGTTGTCGTAACTTGTATCTTCAAAGTTGTTGGGGATGGTATTGCTGTGGGTAGGAAGGATCTCCAGTGGCAGTCAGTCTGTGACACATCTAATGAGGCCTCTGACTGAACACTGTTGCTGTGACATGCTAACAGCTTTAACTGCTAATAAAAAAAAACAAACAAAAAATACAAACACTAAATGTCATTTAAGATCCATGAAGAAAACGTATACAAAGAAACCCATATAATTGATCAGATTTTCATTATTAGTACTGATTATATTTTGACAATTTTTTTACACAGCAGGATTGAACAGCATAGGAAGTGTTCTATGTCTTACATTTAATGCAGTGGAAATAACACTGGCCCTTTTTTTTAGATCCCTGTTTCCAATGAAACCAGGGACATCCTCCTGGCAGCGGTCAGCGAGGACTCGTCCATGTCTCAGATCCACCGGGCAGTGGGCGCTCTCAGCTCCTTGGGGCTCCCGCTCGCTTCACAGGAAGTGGTCGGTGCCCTCACGGCGCGTATCAACAAGGAGGACAACGTCATGGCGTAAGTGAAACGTGGAATCGGTTCGATCAGCAGCTCCTCTGAACACTACCTTACTCCACATGTTTGTGTGCAGCATCATCTCGGCCCTGCAGGCCGCATCCCGCCTGTCCCAGCAGGCAGAACTGGGAGGAATCCTGGAGGAGATTGAGGTGATTCTCCCAGCCTCCACTAGGTGGTGCCGTATTGCCGCTGTGGAATCTGTTTGAGAGGTTTGTGTTTTCTCTCTCAGGATCTGACAGCTCGCCTGGACGACCTGGGAGGCGTGTACCTGCAGTTTGAGGAGGGGCTGGAGGCCACTGCCCTGTTTGTGGCGGCGGCGTACGGCTTGTCGGACCACGTGGATATGGAGCCGCCTCTCAAGGAGGTAGGAGTTCTCGCATCTTCCCAGCTTTTCCTCTGATACCCCTGTAAGTAAGCCTGTCGTAATAACCAATAAATCAATTAGTTCCATGATCCAGCTCAGTAATTTCCATTAGAATGATTTATCACTTTTTCTTTTCTCTCTTTCAACCAAAAACTGGATGATAAAACTTTTCGGTTTAGTGATTGGGTCTCAACTAGAACATTTTTTGAAGGACAATTTTATTTACAGAGACTTCATAATTCATTTTATTTATTGTTTATTTTGCATATTTAAAATGTCTCCCAGTTTCAGTGTTGAATGTTGATTAGAATTTAAAGTTTATTGATCTTTGAGAATGTGTTATTGCATTATGATGCCATTACTGTTATATTGCTAGAAAATTGTCTCAAAACAACAATATTGTCATTTATCGCTGCAACTTAGCCAAATCTGCCTACCTGAAAACCCTTTCTCTCCCTTCAGGACCAGGTCATCCAGCTGGTCAACTCCATCTTCAGTAAGAAGTCATGGGACTCTCTGTCCGAGGCGTTCAGCGTGGCGAGCGCCGCTGCTGCCCTGTCCAACAACCGCTTCCACGTCCCCGTGGTGGTCAGCGCTCAGGGCCCGGCCACCGTGTCCCACAACCAGCCGACCCTGCAGGTACGCCCACTAGCCGCATCCTGCCACAACCACTCCACTAAAGAACAGCTTTTTCCCAATCTGTTCACCCTCCTTCCTCTCTGCCCCCCTGCAAACACACCACACCCTTATGTTGCACCCTACAGACTGTTTAAGACTTTCTTTATTTTTTTATTTATCACTGAGGACACCACTCCAATGTCATTATGTTCTTGAAACATAAAGCAAATATAATCTTATGTCTGTAACGCCATCACGGTGGTGATGTCATGGCTCTGGGTGTTTTATTCCAGCTCCTGGTCACTGACGTCATGTCCCAGCCTCTGGCCTCAGCCAGCGTTCTGGTGGAGTCTGCATACGCTGTGGCCTCCAAGACCGCCGTTCTCAACCAGGCACCGTTCACTCATAATGAGTAAGTATGACGGAGGTGACCTCACAGGAGGAGGAAAGTGGCTGAGGAAGGAGAGAAAGAAACTGTATTATTGCTAAGCCTTAAAAGTTTAAAATAAAAAAAAAATGATCAAGATTAACAGATATATTATTTCCTAGGGTTTCCCCTAGGAACTTGGCCTTGGGGGTGACATGGAGAGGGATTTTTAGAGGTGCACAGATTGATCAGCCTGATTTCTTTAATTTTGGGTGAAGCATTATCAGTCGATACTTGCATATGGAACCAATTTTACTCCACTAGATACTAGGATACCTGTAGCGGTGCATTTGCACTAAGTTTTCCTGTGAAAGTGTAGTGCGAATGCTTTCAGCTGAAGAGAGGAACTCAAATTAGCTAAAAAGCTAAAGTGAAGCAACAATCCTTACAGGGTTTTACAATGAAGCTGATAAGTGACTTAGATATGAGTAGGCCTTTCACAAGAAATCAATAAATCACATAATGAATGATTATTCAATTACTCATTAAGCAGAATCAGTGACAAATTTAATAATTTCCAACTGCATAATTTATCATTTCACCCTTTCTTCTCTTTCAAACAAAAATTGGATGATAAGTCTTCAGTCTGGTGTTTTGGTCTCAACTAGAACTTTCTTTTTGAAGGAGAATTTTGTTTGCGGCAACTTCATAATTAATTTTATTTGTTGTTTTGTTTACTTATTTTGGATATTTAAAATGTCTTCCAGTTCCAGTGTAAAATGTTCATTAGAATTTAAAGTTTATTGATCTTCGAGAATGTGTTCTTGCATCATTATGCCATTACTCTATTACTTGCAAATGGTTTCAAAACACTAATATTATCCCTTATCACAATAACTTCTGGGACAATTCATCATCCAGCAAAAGTTGTTGATGTGACAGGGGTAGTTCTGAGTGGAAATAATAGTTTTAACTGCTGATTCTAGCTTTAATTTTATGAAAATGTTCAAATGTTTTCTCCTTTGAACATACCTAACTGCCTCTGGACTCAGTTACAGTTTGAATGTTAGCCTTTAACTAACCTAATGCCGAAGTAGCTGTGCCAAAAGCAGGAACCTATAGAAAATATGTTCTAAATGAGAAAATTAAGAAAAAAAGTTAAAGTTCTAAATGCCAAAAGTCATGGAGTAATCATGTCCTAAAAATGGTAAATATTTTGAAATCTGAAAAAAAAAAAAAATAAACACAGTGAGGTCATTCGAGTTGTGTGAATGCATTGATGCCAATGCTGCAAAAATATATAGAACTGCAATATGACTTGTTATGATGAGCACAAATTAATAAGGAGAAATTATTTTCAATTTAATGGCAATATTTAACAACATCAAGATATGTTTTTGCAATATCGTGCAATGCTAATCCACAACAAGAATACCTGATTACCAATTCCCAAAGCTAATGCAGCTCT